ATTCTCTGTGTTTACTGAAAATATTTGAGAATTCCGCGCTCCGGCCCTTCAATTCCAAATTTAATTAAATGGAAAAAGTGGGACGGGACGCTCTTGCGTCGGCTCTTAATTAATGTGGGAGGGACTCTTCATTAATTATTTACGTTTCTTTATTTTCATCCGCAAAGTGATTAACAATGCGCTCGGTAAACTAGATTTGTGAGTTTGTTTACGAAATCGGCGAAAAGGGGGCGCCGCAAAGACAAACAATAACATTTAAAATTCAAATTATAAACCATATTTGGAGCTAGACGGACACAGAATTAATTTAAATTGAAGATAATTGGCACCGAAATTTAAGCCAACTTGCGAATTCTCTATGCAAAAACTCGTTTTTCGACGCTGGTGCCACCCAATCTCCAGAATTGAGAGGTTAATTGCAAATTATCTCCGAAACTAAGCGTCGCAGCTAAGTTAAGCAGTTGGTAAAAAATCTGTTAAATAATTAAACCGCGCTCCAGGATCCAGGTCTGGCGTGTCTTTTGTCCATTGGTTAATTACGTCGAAATTTCCCGGTCCGCTTCCGCCGCCGCATTCATTTTTCCCCATTAGCACGTCCGCGGCAAAAAAGCTCCCTCTTGTATGGAATCTCCCAATTATCCTGGCTTAAATCTTGACATGTATCCATAATAATATAATACCGTTCAGGAGCAGGGCACTATTCCCGAAAGTTGCGGGGAGAGGGATTCGGCTGTGGTTTCATGCAAACAAGGGGTGAAACCCTCGGAACACCGGGGGCGCCGCCGCCCCCCGACATCTTTTTATTAATGTACGCCGGCCGAACTGCCCCTCGAAACCGGCACCACGCAACCTTGTTAGAGCTAACTCGGTTTAGCCGCTTCATTTGCCTCTCTCAAGGAAGAAAAAATTGCGAAGAAAGCGCCCTCGTAAATCCGCCATTAAAGCTCTTGAAAAATTCCCGATCGGTGTTACGCGAGTCGTATCTCCCGCGGGATCGCGCGTTTTTTTTTTTCAGGGAAAAAATCAAATAATAAGGGGGATTTCCAGTTACGTCTGGGGATTTTCGGGGTGCATCGATCGCCGCTTCGGAACTGTTTCGTCCGTTAATGTTAAATGAGTTTCGCAGGAAGTGAAAAGAGACTTTAAATAAGTAATTAAGTTCGCTAATCCGCCGTGAAAGGAGCTCGGGACGGGGTTTAATCCGGACCCATCATTTTAAATAAACTCGCAGGCTTTATACAACTACAAAAAGTCTTGGGAGGATCTAATTGAAAGCAAATATTTGTGCAGGGATTTCAATATTTATTTTATTAAACTGGAGGCAGGAATCTAAAGAATTGTTAATTGAAAGTTGAGTTCGGGCGGCAAAAATATGCCCGGAATAATTAAAAAGTCGACCAGAAAAGGGTTCCGGATTAAAATTTAAATTAATTGGTACGAAAGGAGCAGGGCTGGAGGCGAGTGCGGAAGTAAGGACGTAAGCTTAATCGACGCAGGCTTTATGATAACTTGAAATAATCACCTTTATTTCCCTCCATGCAACAGAGAAGATTAACGAATATTTTACTCCTGAATTAAACGTTTTCAAGGTTACTTTAATTATGATAAAATGTGCGCCGTTTTCCTGCCCGGGTTCCTGCTCCACTTGCAAATAACCCACACGTTTCTCACCGGTCGCCAGTTCCTGAGGGACATTGCGAAATATTTCACCCTTATTTATACGTATTGCGCTAATAATAAATTTTAGTTGTGTTTTTCAGATGGAATTTTAACTTCTGCAGTCAAAGATGACACATTTGCCATTTCAGATTTTTATTGGTAATTTTTTTTTCATTTTGAAAGCCAAAATTTTGAAAATCTTGATTCGGCGTCAAAAACGAGCTATAGGTTTTTCAAATCAGCTTATTGATATCTATATCCTAGATGTTGTGTGGATTTTTAGGCAACTTTCCCAAAAGTTCATACTTTCAATACTGAAATTTTTGACCTTTTTACTTCCCGAGCGTAAGCAAAGGAAGTATTGTAATCGAGTCCGTCGGCCGACTCTCTACTTTTACGTTTTCTCGATTTTTCATGACCCCTAGAAGACGAAGAAATAGGTCTCCCATTTCCGTCTGTCTGTCCGTCTGTCCGTCTGTCCGTCCGTCTGTCCGTCTGTCCGTCTGCCGTCCCGGATTTTTATTAGACAGATAATCTCCGAAAGTACTCGACCGATTGTTGTGAAATTTTGTACTTATATTAAGAATATCATGTAGATGGTAAAACGCTAACCAAAATTTGTCTAATCATCCCCACCACTAATGCGATGACGTCACTTCAAAATTGTACATAGTAAATGGGTTTTCAATTGTATAAAATAACATAGTCCTACACATGTAGTTTACAACTCTGAATCGACTTTTCACCCGAAACGTCCAGATTTTTGGAAAAAAAATCAAAATTATAAAACAACATTTTGAAATTTAATTTTTAATCTGCTAACCAGAATGCTTTGAAATGTTGCAGATGTTTTAAGGCTATAAAGAGCATCATAAATCTTTAGTCAAAAAATATTTCCTTATCCCCTCCAAAAACTTGATGACGTCAGCTCAAAAGTTTGTGGAATAAATCATATCTAAAATGTACAAAATATGATGAGTCTATACTTGTGATCTATCACTCCATTCATATTTTTTGGATTTGCATATACAGGGTGACTCAAAAAAATTAATGAATGCGTAAATATATTTTATTGATTTAATCAGGAACTACAAAACCGAATGCTCTGAAATCTTGCAGATGTTTTAAGGTCATAAAGAGCATAATAAATGTTTAGTCAAAATATATTTGCTTATCCCCTCCAAAAACTTGATGACGTCAGCTCGAAAGTTTGCCGAATAAATCATATCTAAAATGTACAAAATATGATGAGCCTGTACTTGTCATTTATCACTCCATTCATATTTTTTGGATTTGCATATACAGAGTGACTCAAAAAAATTAATGAATGCGTAAATATATTTTATTGATTTAATCAGGAACTACAAAACGGAATGCTCTGACATCTTGCAGATGTTTTAAGGTTATAAAGAGCATAATAAATGTTTAGTCAAAATATATTTGCTTATCCCCTCCAAAAACTTGATGACGTCAGCTCGAAAATTTGCCGAATAAATCATATCTAAAATGTACAAAATATGATCAGTCTGTACTTGTGATCTATCACACCATTCATATTTTTTGGATTTGCATATTCAGGGTGATTCAAGAAAATAAATGAAAGCGTAAATTTATTTTACTGATTTACTCAGGAACTACAAAACCGAATGCTTCGAAATCTTGAAGATATTTTAAAATTATCATAAGCATGGTAAAGTTTTGATCAAAACGTATTTGGTCGTCCCCCCTAAAAAATTTATGACGTCACCACAAAATTTTGCTGAATAAATCCTATCTAAAATGTACAAAATATGGTGAGTCTCTGCTTGTGATTTATCATTCCATTCAAATTTTTTCGATTTGCATATACAGGGTGACTTAAAAAAATTAATGAATGCGTAAATTTATTTTATTGATTTAATCAGGAACTACAAAACTGAATGCTTTGAAATCTTGCAGATGTTTTAAGGTTATAAAGAGCATAATAAATTTTTAGTCAAAATATATTTGGTTATCTTCTACAAAAAACTGATGACGTCAGCTCAAAAGTTTGCCGAATAAATCGTATCTAAAATGTACAAAATATGATGAGTCTGTACTTGTGATTTATCATTCCATTCATATTTTTGGATTTGCATATGCAGGGTGACTCAAAAAAATTAATGAAAGCGTGAATTTATTTTATCGATTTAATCAGGAATTACAAAACCGAATGCTTTGAAATCTTGGGAATATTTTAAAGTTATTATAAGCATGGTAAACTTTTGTTCAAAATGTATTTGTTCATCCCTCCTAAAAAAATTGATGACGTCACCCTTAAATTTTGCTGAATAAATTCTATCTAAAATGCAAAAAATATGATGAGTTTGAACTTGTGATTTATCATTCCATTCATATTTTTTAGATTTTCTTAAGAGGTGGTTCAAAAAAATTAATGAAGTCAATTTATTTTATTGATTAAATTAAAGGCAACACTTATTATTAGTATTACACCCCAACCAACCCAATTTGGTAGACACAAAATTTGTTAAAGGAAAAACTCGGTTGAAACATAAGGGTAGCACGCTTATTTACATCGACTTTAACATTACAGACCTGCATTTGTTTTATGCGCTGACTTGGTTCCGCGAATGTGAAAGAGACATGTTTATAATCAACCAATTGTGAATTTCACCGTCAAGAATTAAAATAAAACCCAATGTTTTATATAATAAGCGGAAGTCGAAGCAATAAAACCGATGGTCGTTTTGTTTACAGTTTCTCTGTTTGACTCTCACGTATGCTGTTACGCCTGTCATCTTAAATTAAGAATGTTTATACATACACGATTTTCAGTTGCCTCTGATACGTATACGTGAGTAAATTGTTTCGTTATTTTATTGATTATTACAAATCAATATTCAAAACGACCCAATTCATTTTCCAGAAAATTTGAGAATATAATAATTTTATTCTTAGTATTACACTACATCTATCCCAACTGATATACGTGTCCTTGCAAAAATGTTGATGACGTCATCGCAATTTTTTTTAAATTCCCACTACAAAAATGTAATGAGAAAAAAAACACAATAGGCATGCAGTCGTGAAGTTTCCGACAGCGAGGGAAGTACTGTCTAAACTCTTTAGACCAATTTTTCCAAGCATTTTCGAAAATTACCCTCAGTAATTTTTGTGTTGATTTCGAAAATAAGTACCAAATAATAATTGGACTGATTTAAAATTTTCAAGAAATCGGTGCGCTAGTTCTCCGTTAAATCCTCCTACTGTTTTCGTGTTGACAGGAAGCCCACAATCCGGCTACGACACCACCACTTGCCTAACCGTTCCGCCGTTTTTACGCATTGTCTTTGACCACTCACCTCGAAAGCTAAGGTTAATGCGTTTTTCTCCTGGCGCAGCTGCTCAGCCTGCTTCTTGTACACCAGCATCGAACGCACAGTTTCTTCCATCCTGAAACCAAACCACAATCAACAAAATCTCATTTACAATTTCCCGCTGACGCGGACCACTTGTCACTCTAAAATTTTGGCAGAACGCGCCTTGCATGACAGTCGCAACTACAAAGGACACTTGTCCTATGCTTGTCGTCCCGAAATAAAGCGCGAGAGTCCTCGACAGTTTTCGAAGTTCCTCCGGTAATGACACATGCGAGATTTGCGAACCGTGAAAGGGTCTGGCGGAGTCAATAAGAGCGAGCTGAGGGAGTGAAACCCTAATTCTTCGTAGTTTGCAGCCGATTCGACACATTCCCTGCAGATGGTGCCGCAACTGCCACTTTATAGGCCCTTCTTTGGCGATGGCGGGATAAGTGGCTGGATGTGCAGGCGAGGAATTAACTCATTTACAAGCGCGGTGTTTTGATAAGGGGCGGCGACCGGCTCATATTTTCCATGACGAAACCGATTTATCAACAAGCTGATACACGGATCTTCCAATTTTTTTTTAGGTTTTATAGGAAATTTATCTATTGAGTGAAAGTTTTTTGTCTCTTTACGGATGCAATACTTCTCTGAAAAATTATCATTTTTTTTGCGATTTTTATTGTCTGATAACCTCTATAAAGTAAACACCAGTGGCGTAAATAATGCCAGCTTATTTGCCTTGAATTTTTTCTTCAATTTTTCATTTTTTTTGTTCCTTCATTGTTTCGATTTGCATTTTTTCTAGTTCAACTTTTCAATTCAATTTCTGCAATTTTTCGATTTGAGTTTCTCCAGTTTTCAATTTTTAATTTTTCCATGTGCAATTTTTTGTTTCAGTTTTTTATTTTATTTATTTTTAGTTTTTAAATGCTCCGATTTTATCATTTTTTGTTTTTTCAATTTCAATTTTTTCAATTTTTCGGTTTGCAATTTTTCAAATTTTCTTTTTTTTTCAATTTAACTATATATGTAACTCATTAAATTTTTAGATTTTGCTGCCTTTCGATTTGAAATTTCACGCGTTTTCAATTATTAGATTTTTCAGTTTTTCGAGAAAAACGAGAAAGATATTCTACATGACTTACATTAGTACTACAGTCCAAAATTATTGGACATCAATATTTCTCTAGAAAATTCTATCCTTCTGAAAATATATTTCATATCGTAATTTTTTGTAGAGAAATGAGGATTTTGCAACTAAACTCCACCCTTCAGCTCACAATGAATAAAGCATTCATTACAAGTGAGAAGGGGTGGGTGGGCGGGGCCAATATTTTGTCCATTTTTTTCTTAATATACGAAGTCTTCTTTTCTCAACAAGAAACTGAAAATATGTTTAACTATCCTGTTGTTGAAAGAAAATTCTATATATAAAAAAAAACAAAACAAAGATTAAGCCCCACCCACCCGCCCCGATCTCAATTGTGATGAGTTTTCATTCCTAATCAGACCGAAGGGCGAAGTTTAATTGCAAAATTTCGATTTACATTTTTTCTCGTTTTCAAGTTTATATTTCCAATTTTCAACTTTTCAATTCAATTTCTAGATTTTTAGATTTCCTCTAGAAAATTCTATCCTTTTGAAAACATTTCATATGGTAATTTTTTGTAGAGAAATGAGGATTTTGCAACTAAACTTCACCCTTCAGCTCACAATGACTAAAGCATTCATTACAATTGAGAAGGGGTGGGTGGGCGGGGCTTACATTTTGTCCATTTTTTTGTTAATATACGAAGTCTTCTTTTCCCAACAAGAAACTGAAAATATATTTAACTATCCTGTTGTTGAAAGAAAATTCTATTTATATAAAAAAAGAAAACAAAACAAAAATTAAGCCCCACCCACCCGCCCCGATCTCAATTGTGATGATTTTTTCATTCCTAATCAGACCAAAGGGCGAAGTCTAATTGTAACATTTCGATTCACATTTTTTCTAGTTTTCAAGTTTATATTTTCCAATTTTCAACTTTTCAATTCAATATCTAGATTTTTAGACTTTCTCTAGAAAATTCTATTCTTCTGAAAACATTTCATATGGTAATTTTTTGTAGAGAAATGAGGATTTTGTAACTAAACTTCGTCCTTCAGCTCACGATGAATAAAACATTTATCACAATTGAGAAAGGGTGGGTGGGCGGGGCTAATATTTTGTCCATTTTTTTCTTAATATACGAAGTCTTTTTTTTTTTCAACAAGAAACTGAAAATATGTTTAATTAAATTCTATATATTAAAAAAAAAACAAAACAAAACAAAGATTAAGGCCCACCCACCCGCCCCGAACTCAATTGTGATGATTTTTTTCATTCCTAATCAGACCAAAGGGCGAAGTTTAATTGTACATTTCGATTAACATTTTTTCTAGTTTTCAAGTTTATATTTTCCAATATTCAACTTTCCAATTCAATTTCTAATTTTTTGACTTTCTCTAGAAAATTCTATCCTTCTGAAAGCATTTCATATGGTAATTTTTTGTAGAGAAATGAGGATTTTGCAACTAAACTCCACCCTTCAGCTCACAATGAATAAAGCATTCATTACAATTGAGAAGGGGTGGGTGGGCGGGGCTAATATTTTGTCCATTTTTTTCTTAATATACGAAGTCTTCTTTTCCCAACAAGAAACTGAAAATATGTTTAACTATACTGTTGTTGAAAGAAACCTCTATATATTAAAAAAACAAAGATATCGTCACTATATCGTGCAATTGTTTTTGCGAAAATTTAAACGTTAAACGAAAAAACTGAAAGCGGATTCGTATACTACAAGTATAGGAGTACATTCAACTCATTTTAATATATGGTTCATTGAGATGATGTCATTAAATTGTTGGTGGGGATGGCTAGCATTTAACCATCTGCATATTTCTTACATACATACAAAATTTGACAACAATCAGTCCAGCAGTTTCGGAGATTACGTGTCTAATAAAAATGGATACAGACAGACGGACAGACAGACAGACAAACAGACGGACGGACAGACAGACAGACAGACAGACAGACAGACAGACAGACAGACAGACAGACAGACAGACAGACCGACCGACCGACCGACCGACCGATAGACAGACAGACAGACAGGCAGACAGACAGACGGACAGACAGACAGACGGGCAGGCAGACGGACAGACAGATAGACAGACAGACGGACAGACAGATAGACAGACAAACGGACAGACAAATAGACAGACAAACAGACAGAGAGACAGACAGACGGACAGACGGCCAGATAAACAGACAGACAGACACGACATTAAAGCATAACCCACTAAACACTAGAGAAGATTTTCAAAACTAAGCGCAGAATGTTTCCAAATGTTGGTCATTTTTTGTAAAAATTAGTCATCAGTACTGGTTAAAATAAAACTGATTTGGCAAATGAGATAGACTCTGAGAAAAGAGAGGGTGGGTGGGCGGGGCTAGGAGCTGCCAAGATGAAACTGATTTTGGCAAATCACATACCTTCTAAGAAAAGAGAGGGTGGGTGGGCGGGGCTAGTACCTGCTAAGAAAGACTGATTTTGGCAGATGACATATCCTCTAAGAAAAAGAGGGTGGGTGGGCGGGGCTAGTAACTGCCAAGATGAAACTGATTTTGGCAAATCACATACCTTCTAAGAAAAGAGAGGGTGGGTGGGCGGGGCTAGTACCTGCTAAGAAAGACTGATTTTGGCAGATGACATATCCTCTAAGAAAAAAAGAGGGTGGGTGGGCGGGGCTAGTAACTGCCAAGATGAAACTGATTTTGGCAAATCACATACCTTCTAAGAAAAGAGAGGGTGGGTGGGCGGGGCTAGTACCTGCTAAGAAAGACTGATTTTGGCAGATGACATATCCTCTAAGAAAAAAAGAGGGTGGGTGGGCGGGGCTAGTAACTGCCAAGATGAAACTGATTTTGGCAAATCACATACCTTCTAAGAAAAGAGAGGGTGGGTGGGCGGGGCTAGTACCTGCTACGAAAGACTAATTTTGGCAAATGACATATCCTCCAGAAAAAAGAGGGTGGGTGGGCGGGGCTAGGACCTGCTAAAATAAGATCGCTTTTGCCAATTAACATACCCTCTAAGAAAATGAAGGGTATAGGGTATATCATTTGCCAAATCAGTTTTATCTTGGCAAGTATTAGCCCCGCCCACCCACCCTTGTTTTATTCAAAGATATGCTATTTGCCAATATCAGTTTTATCTTAGCAAGTACTACCCCGCCCAGGCGCGGATCCAGGGGGGGGGGGGGGCAATGGGTGCAATTGCCCCCCTCGACACACGACCGAGGTACTTTATTTTGACCAATTTCAAAATTTTGAAATCGCATTTCATTTTGTAAATACAGTACCTACAACCTCTATAATCCGAATTCACGATTATCCGAACACCTAGTAATCCGAACACAGGCTATTTGAAGTCGATGCTTGTTTAATTCGAACAAAAACTCTACAATCTGAACTGAACTTGGAAACACGCACCTACTTGCCAAAATGACGCAAGATCTTTCTACATATGTTGTATGGAGTATTTTGAAATTTTTAAAAATTGCCATATTTCAATGCACTGAATTAATTATCTAATTCTGGAAAAAAGGTTGAAGTTATCGAAGAAATTAAAATTAAAAAAATAAATTTCGAAAATCGTCGAAAATGGGTCGAAATTTGCATGAGGAACATTTCATTTTTGAAAAAATTTCCTAAAAATTCTGAAAAAATTCAGAGATATGTATATCCCGACGTGCTGATTCCAAAAATATAGCATGTTAATGGTAACCGAGCAATATTTTCGAAAATTTGGTGTGAAATTTGAATTTTTCTAAATTTTTAAAAAGTGCCATAAGTACTTATTTCAACTGGACGAATCTGAAAAAAAGGTTTAAGTTAGCGAAGAAATGAAGCCGTAAGTGACTTCTGAGGTCCAAAATCTACAAGAAAATGTATTTAGTTAAATTTAGAAAATCGTCAAGAATACATAATGGAAAATAACATTTTTGAAAAATTCGTCTAAAAATTCTGAAAAAATTCAGGGTATAGATCCCGGTGTG